AAGGTGACGTACGGGCAGCTTCGAAGTATGGCATCTTTGCTTCACTATCAAGACCCTTCCATTTTTCAACCATCTAAAGCTCAAAATTATTAAGTAAAGCATAGAGTTCAAGGTTGAGTAAAGCCAAATTTCTGACCATTCGTGTTACGAGACCCATAGGTAGGTCAGGATGTGTTTTCAGAAGCTTTTCCCGTTCTTCATTAGCAAAAATACTAAATGCATACGCCGAACGACGTTTCATGTCTGAAAAGATAGAGCAAATCTGAAAATTGAGAGAAAAAAATTGAGACGATTGATGAGATAACTATAAAAAACCTGCGAATCGATCCTGTTTTCCAGTCGTTGGCGAAGCAGGTAATTGAGATCTTAAAGCGAGACCATTATATGAAATAAAGTTAAAGATTCCAAGGTAAAGGTCTAATTGAACAACCTTGATTTTCCATTTTCATCCTCAGGTGAACCTACACGACTTCCAGCTCCTGAGGAATGAGATGAGACCGACATTTGAAATATGTTTAGAATCTAATGTACATGAATAATCTGTAAAACATCTGTTTTTTTGGAAAATGACGTCATTATAGCATCTTTGTTCGATAAAAAGCGAAAAATTCTTGCGAAATAGGAAACTCCAGGTAAAAACAACTGGTAAAACAACTTGGGAAGCAGTACCTACGTCACCTGAAATTCTCAGCAAAATGATCAACCGCATTATGGCGAATGCTATAATAAATTAACACATATATCTAAATCAAATGCTTAAATGCTAATGATAAGTAAAAAAAAGTCAACCGAGCGGGATTTCTCCCTCCACCGCGCGCGGCCTTCGCACTGGTCCACGTTATTTCATCTGCTCCCTGTTAGTTAGTTAATCAGTGGGCATTATTTACTCCTCCAAGGCTCTTAGCTAAGGACTGATCAGACCTTTCCCAGTTCAGTCTTGATCATTTTTTGAGTCTTAACAACCTATTACTGGTAAAGGAAGAAATCAAAGGAAGAATTCTGGGTAGGGGGAACACCTGTTAATTCAAGTGAGATACTCTATATGCCTCAATCAGGAAATTACAGAACTTCCTGTGCTCTCTAGCTCTCCAACATTTGCTCGTCCATTTTTCCTAGAAATGAGAGGGTGTTTCCGCAAAGATAGGCATAGTGGAAAAACGAAGCCTCCAGATTTCGTACCCTAGCATTTAGAAAACACAAGCTTACACACGAGCCTGAAGGGATTGGTTCCGGCTTTGTTAGAATTGTATTATGGGTTTAAGAGTTAGGAAAAAGTCATTCTCACCAAGTTAAAGCATAACTAACGACAAGTTAGAGGTGGAAGTGGAAGCGTACTATAAAAGTAGTCATAGAAAGCGACTTACCGGACTAGTTTAAAGGACGCTGAATGGACGCGGTTCTCCCGAAGCGACAACCGGATCACTGTAGTCAGTTCAAAGTCTTATCTACCCATTCACCCAACATTGAGCACCCTCGCGAGATTTAACTTTAGGTGAGTATACCCTAGTAAATGTTTCTTTCTCTTCTGCTTTTTCACAGCTCTTCTGTGCAGCCAGTGCTCACACCGAGGGAAAACGAACTGTCAGGAAGCTTCCAGGTTTATGTTCGGGGACCGCGCCAGTTCATACTCGCCATTCGTGGATGAGTGCTCTTGGTTGTGCCCGTTTGCTCGTCTGGTGCCTGTTCTCTCGTCAAATGATGTTACTCGTACAGTATTCTTTCGTCTCTTCTTGATTCAGGTGACGATTTGGGAGTTTATAGGAGTTCCTTTCTCGTACATATCGCGTCAGATGTCTGCTCTTTTCGTTCACCGAAAAGAGGCGGCTTTTCACGAGAACTCCCAGTCCAGGGTTATCGCTGTAGGACCCTCTTCCTTCAGCCTATTCCATGGCGGTAGTTTTTCCATGTTTGTGGTTATGTCCGTGTCCACCTATTTACTTTCTCCTCCTCAATTTTTTAGGCTCTTTACAGCTATTCTACTCAACCACAAAAACTTCAATTATTACTTACCTCTAACAACGACTCATGGTGAATATTAGTGTTTCTAATCTGCCTCACTCTTTTCAGGACTTTAGGGGCATCAAAAATTTATGGTGATAAAAATGTAACCAATAAGTATAATCGAGTCATTCGTAGACCAAATGACTGTGTGATCATGGGTATGGTCTGCAGACATTCAATAATAGTCTCGTTTCCCAGACCTCACTCTTCTATGATGGGCTCTATCGTGTCCTTCTTTAATCATTTTTTTTTAA